GTGTGTGTGTGTGTGTGTGTGTGTGTGTGTGTGTGTGTGTGTGTGTGTATGTGCGTGTATAAAACATAGCATGTTTAGGATGAGGTGACCAATAATTGTGAAAACACTAGAATTCCTGGATGGTGGTAGAGTGCTTCACAAGATCTCTTCTACCCCCAAAATAGTGAGGGCAGTAAATGAACACTGGAATTATTCTCTCAGAGGGGGAAAATCTGTACGGAAATCCAGTCCATCAGGAAGGTGTTACTAAAGCCTTGGTTTATAGTGCTTCCCACTTTAAAGGGGCTAAGCAGTTTCCTATTCCCTTTCAGAGTTCTTCATAAGAACCAACTGTGTACACGGAAATTTAGGCTTGTTGCTCCATTTCACTCTGCATGTTCTCCCCAGCTAAACAGTACTCCAAAGTTCCCAAGACCCTCAGAACCATTCATCCTCCCCCAAATTAACACTGTGATCCTAGGAGGATTCTGAGGCATACAAATTGCTCCCTTTAACCTATTTACCCATCCTGCGCTCCCACACTCTCCTGCACCTTCCCCACGGGCCCTGAGTTATCCTCTGCAGTGCCTCTGGGCACAAAGGCATCTCAGCCTGGACCTCTTTCCTGATCTTCAAGTTCAATGTCATGTGAAGGTTTGTTGAAAATTGTCACAACACCATTACTTTCCTTTGCTTGTGTAGTGAAGCGTTTTTTTACAAGTGGTAAAGCTTTCTCACAGTCACGTGGATAAACACATACGACAAGACAGTGGAATTATACAATGTCAGACTCTTCCAGACTTCTCTCCCACGGAATGGAAAGATAGTTCACGAATCCCTGCCCTCACACGAATCTCTCTCTGGCTTTCCATTATGGAATCACGCAATCGGGTCAACCGCATTGAAGTTTTGGGAGTGCATTCTCTTCGTCAGCTACAAATTCCATCTGGAAAGACTTTACAGCCCATTGCTGGGAGGCAGAGGCAGGCAGATCTCTTAGTGCCAGGCCAGCCTGGTCTTCAGAGCAAGCTCTAGGACAACCAGGGCTACACAGAGAAACCCTGTCTCAAAAATAAAAACAAACAAACAAGACAACAACAACAAAAAAAAAACCAAAGACTTTTATGAAATCCAGGTCTTAAAAAGAGGGTGGGAGGCAGTTTGAAAGCAATTGATTCAGAGCAATCAAGTATGTTAATGAAGTGAGCAAACCAGCACAGAATTTAGTATCACGGTGTCTGCTGTGTGCATCTGACTGAGCTAGCCTTCCTGCATAAAAAATGCTATTAAAATAAGCTAAAGTAATGTGCTTTATGGTGGCTTCTCTCCCTCTGGAATCCATTGTGGCAAATGATTAAGGACAGAGAGCTTGGAGTTGAGCAAAGCCGAGTTAGAAGCCAAGTCTTGCGGTTTCTTGGGAGCCTCTCTTTGGGCCCATTGTTTTGCCTATTTTAGGATTTCTCTTCATCTTTTGTAAATTTAGGATTCCTTTCTACCTGTCTCCGAGGCAGCTATAGAATTTAGTGGAGAAGTACAAACTTCACAAATATGAAACTTCACGTGGTGAGAGGGGGAGAAGACTTAAAGACAGACAGGAGGGGAGGAGGAGTTGGAGGAGAGGGAGAAGCGACAAAAAGAACAGAGGGCAAAGAAGTTCTGACATCACACTCATAGGGCTGTTGAAAACAATCACAGACTGTGAAGCTGTCTGAAGCCATGAGTACAGAACAATGGAGCCCCCCTTCCCCACCTACAGTTAAAACAGTTAAACACCTACAATTAAAACTTGATGCAAAATACTCACTCAGTATTTGACCCCCACATTTAGAACTGGTTTACATTTGTTGAATTTAACTGTGCCAGATATATGTACCTAAAAATTCCTTTCTGAAAGAATAGTTATTCTATGGAAGATTCAGCTCATTCTGTTAGGAGACATACTTGCTATGGTCATTCCTTCGCAAAATGGTGCAATTGTCATGAAAGGAAGCTGAAATCCTATTTAAGGATCAAAGGCGTTTTTGGTATCATCTTAAATAAAGCAGCTACCGGATCCCTAAGACTCCATGGCTTGTCATAAGGGCCTGATAATAAGAATTTTTATGACTGTGTGTAATTAACTTGGACATCTTTTGCTTATATCGCTGTGTTTCTCCTTCATGAAGAAAACATCCTCAGCAATTAATGCTATTTTTTTCCTGTGCGCAATAGACAGATTTTTATGAAGAAAACACACCAGTAGGATGAAAATTAGTCAATATCCACCACCCATGGATATCATAATGATTAATGTGGATCTCCTCCTGATCCATTCAGTTGTGCCTGTATATATTGATCAAGATATCGGCTGCAGGGGACTGTTTGCATAACTAAAAGCTTTTGACAGGCTGCAGTCTCTTTGACTTCACATACAGATTAGGTCCCAAAGTCATGTAGACCTTGGCATTCAGTGAAAAATTACCCAAGGCTATAAACGCATCCAATTATGTTTTGAGATAGTTTTTGGGAAGATGTAAACAGCATTTTTGTGGGCACTCCCACATTTCTGTCACAAGATCAAAAACAGCTAGTCTTAGGGCATAACTACAACAATAGGCCCCTCTAGAAATTGTTTTTGAAAGGCTTTTGTGTACCTTACATACTTCCCAGTCACTTGTCAAATTCCATCTGACACAGATAGCTCATTGGTCATTGCTTTTTGTTCAACAGATGCCAGAGTTCGGCCCATTGCACTGCATTTTATTACTTGCTATTTTTAAGGAGATACCTCAGGAGAAACAAACCCCCATCCCCACCCCTTTTTTTTCGGTACAGTGTAATTACTGAAGCACATAAAGTGGTTATAGCAGGAATTTATCACTTTCAGGTGGAAACACTCCCAGCCAAATAAAAGATAGAGTAGCAATGCCAGAAGCAATTTATAACAGGCTCAGTGACATTTTGTGTTGAGAAGCCCCACCACTGAATAAGCATTAAGTCGTAAATCTCTGTAAACGTGATTAAGGCAAGCAAGTTATTCTTTGAAGGGACACTGTAATAAAAGAATGCCGTGATGCAAAGCTGAAAAATTCTGTTGACAAAAATCACCAAAAACAGCTGTCAGTAAAATTTAAAAACAGCTTGTTTAAAATTCTGTTGGAGTCCAGCAGCTGTTTGTTTGCACATAAAACGTTCATTTAGGAAATGAGTACTGGCCCTACTTGGGGTTTCATTGTACTTCAAAATTCTGTAGCCAATTTAATCAAATTCATGCAATGATTAAAATTTCTTTCAAAAGACAAGTGAGAAGTAACCAATATATTTGAATATACCTCATAAACATGTGTTCAATAAATATGAGAGGAAATAAATGACTATATACCATTAAAATAAAAGTTGTGATCAATTATAAATTGCATTTCAGCTTTTTTATTATAAATGCTATTGGGAGAATTATGCCTTGTTTGTGTTGGATTGATTTCATTAGTATTGGTTGAACCCTTAAAAAGGCCATGAGGCAATGCACTTAAAACTGAATCAAAATTCAGTTTCCTAATCTAATAACTTTATGTGAGATTATTAAATCTCACCTTGATCTTATTACATATGCCTTTATTTAGTAACTGTTTTTACTACCTCAAAAGATGCCTTACATATTTTATATATGAAATAATAATAGACAATGTCTTCTAGTATATGAATAAAAAGCCCGTACACAGCATAGTTGCTTACATCATAATGTTATTGATACATCCCAGCACTTTGAACCTTGCATTCAGGAAAGCTTAGATTCAAGAATTATAAAATAACAAATCCATTATTTTGTCTGAAATGAAACAAATTTATTTATAATCGAATAATAGAAGGAAGTCATTGTGTTTGTGCTCCCCTCTAGTCCTAGTTACTCTAGAGGATGAGGCATGAAAAGGCAGAGTTTAAGATCAACCTGGAGCAAATAGAGGATTCTGGGCAAGCCTGGGCTACACAGCAAGTTCCCCGTCAAAAGCAAGCTAAAACAAAGGGGGACTGGTTGGCATACATCCTTAATCCCAGCACTGGGAAAGCTGAGCCAGGAGGACCATATCATAGTCCATATCATAGACCATATCATAGTTTGAGATCAGCCCAAGCTATCATGAAACCATGTCTCAAACATGCAAATGCACATATTTATTCTACTGGTTTTAGTCCCTCGAAAAGACTGTAGAATCCTAATTCATTATGTAATCATCACACCACTCTATAGTGTAGGTACCATTATCATCCATCTTGACCGAAAAGAAAACAGGGTCCTTAAGTATCAGTGGCTTTCCCAGGGATACACAGCTTACAAGCAGGACAGGGCAGAAATAGATCCAGGTATCTTTGACTTCAAAGCCCGTACATTCAGAACATATGTAACCTAGTGCCAGTTCAGTTCAACTTCAAAGGATGACGTTTAAGGCCAAATCTATTGAAATGCACACTAACTCCCAGACAACTGTGTATTGTACATTACAGAACTTTTACGTGATAGTCTCTCCTTGCAGAAAACGGGCTGCCTAGTCGCTGACAAGGCTAATGAAAGAAACAGTGGAAAGCGTAGTGTAATAAAGTGTTTGGTTCCATATGTGATAACATAAGTGTCAAAAGAGGTCAAGGGAAAGACTGTTTAAAATTGCTTTAAGAAGTCTGATGGGGGGCCTGTGCAGTGGCACACACCTGTAATTCCAGCACTCCAGGCCAGCCTGGTCTACAGAGTGAGTCAGGGACAGCCAAGGCTACACAGAGAAACCCTGTCTTGAAAATAAAAAAA